TCAAATTTGAGAAACCATAAAATTTTTATTAAATATATTAAAAAAAAAAATACAAATTACTCATAATACCTTTAACTGAGCCGCATACATAATATTAAATTTAATTTATACATTCTTCTTACTATTTTTACAAATTTGTATTTGCATACTGCAATATAAATTTTCTCATTCATTTCACATCCCCATACTTATACGTCTTCACGCACACACATCAGAGGGCCATGTAACGCTGTATATTGTAAAAGAAAAGAAGAGTTATATGAACCCATCAGCTGACTTGAAGCTGAGTCATAGCCGACTCGCATCTGACTTCTGTGTGCAACAAACCAGGATAGAACCAGCCAAGCAAAACAGATCGTGGGGGGACAAATTGTTAGAGACGCAGACGTGATTAATTATGCGAGCTCAGCTTGTTATCATCGCGTTATGTGATTTCATGTGCACATAATGCTTGATTGAGTATCCAATGTAGGCTGTTCATAGGCGACTAAAAGCTCATTTATGAAATTGTGTGCATCTGTAGATGTGTCGAGATTCTAGATATGTAAGTCATTTATAAGTATTTTCATGAATGTTTGGTTTCGTGAAAAGCACACATCCATTTAGCGCAATAAATTTTTTTTTTTAATTTTAACATTATTGTTTACTTAACCATTGATATATTGTATTTATTTATCTTATGTTTATATAAAAATTTGTAATTAAAAAATATCTTGCAAATATTATATCTAAATATTATTTACTTTGAGATTTATATTTTTGCAACAATAGTTCTGACAGCGCTTGTTTCTACGAAATTAAGAAAGCCAAAGAAACAATGTAGAAATCGTAATTTAAGTAGAATCATATTTACTAATTTTGCAATTATTATAATTATAATCTGTGAAAATGATTATAAATGAAAAATATTATAATAAAAGAAAAAATTAAATAAAAATTAAATTTATTAAGCTGAAATTCGTATATTCATTACGTAGATGCTTAAGCTGCAAGTCTTAAGTAGAGCTTCATGTTTGAGACTTTTCTACTTTTATGTTACTTGACCTGTTTCCATATTTTCCAGCTTTGTATTTAATTATACGTTTTATTTTTATTTTCAAAACTCATTGAATTTTTCTTATGTATGAAACAAAGTTAAATAGAATAATAATTCTTATTATTAATTACATTGTAAGGATTGCTGTAATAAGCGGTGCATTGATTTTATTTGACATTACCATTGTATTTTAATATTCTTTAATAGGAAATAATTACATAATAAATGCATTAAATCTAATTTATCAAATGAATTAATAATTTCTTATATAATGATATCTAAATAAAATTTGAAATGTTAACTTTATAATTTATAATTAAAATTTTCATACTGCGGTAGTATCATTAATTAAAAGTAAGATTGAAAATTATATTAACGGTTTTTTATTATAAGTTGGATTATTTAATAATATAAATTTTTGTTTTTATTTGTTAATCATTGTTATATTTAAGGGATATTTTATACACTGCCTAACTTATGCGAAGATAAAACTATTTCCCCTAACTCGAAATGAACAATTTTATTTCAGGTAACTGTACTTTCCAACTCGCATTTATATTTAACTATGATTTAAAAATTTTTTTTAAAATGGAATATGATTTGTACACTCGATGGCTTATTGCGCCGTTAATTCTTTCTCCTGCTCTATTTCTCTTTTCAGCGTTATGCATTCGATATCCGTTTTCTATAAAAGTCGGTCAAGGCTTTTGAAGCAATGTATCGTGTAATACATACTTGAAAGAATATATTTTCCTTATTTCTTTCATACTAGTGTACTGGGCACTATCCTCTTTTTTGAAATTGATTTTTATATTCAAATATAAATAAGGTATCGTTAGAAGTAATATATTATTACTGAAAATAATGGAGTCTAAAAGTATAAAATATCATTTATAATACTAGACATGCATAATATTATATTTCAAAATTATTACTTCTCAAATAATTTATTTATATATGTATATATATATATATATACGTGTATGTGTGTGCGTGTGTGCGTGTGTGTGTGTGTGTGTGTGTGTGTGTGTGTGTGTGATTAATTTTACAAATAAAATAAATGTATAGAAATCCAAAAATACTATCTTAATTGACTTTTGTTAAATGTCGTATTTATATTTATGTCTAACTTTGGGAAAACTGTATTATAATTTCAGTCAATGAACTTATCAGTATAATTTAATTTAGTTTCAACTGAAAATATAAGACTACTCAAATACTCAAGAATATTTGTAGTAATAAAATAATAATAATTTACCTTATATTCAGTTTATTTTTAGTTTTCCTTTTCTATTTCTCATTTTGCTTTAAATTGACATATATTTTTAGCATTATTTATGAATATTCTGTCACGTACTATCCATTTTATATGAATTAAAAACAAATATCTAAATATAATACAAATATAAACTAATGTGAATTTGAGTTGGAATTGTCATTTGTTAGTTGGCAAGTTTTCAAAAAGTCAGCAATTTTATACTATTTTATTCACTAACAATAATATTTAACGAATGAGCCATGCCCGCGCGATGATAGATATTACGAGTAGCGTGAGCACAATGCACTCGCCATTATGTTGTTTGATGAGAGCTCTATGGACGGATGTTTCCAATAAACAGATATTTATAAAGAACTAATTTCATATGCCTTCGTTTTATAGCTTCTTTGTTTATGAGCATTGGGATACGTAGAGTAGGATGTATAATGCCTATATACATAAAGTACCACGCATAAGCATGAGAAGCGTTAATCAAGAATTATTTAGTAGTGAAATAATTGGATATTAGTACGTATGGCACTCAGTTTGAGTATGGTTATTTGCTATATTTATGTTCCTTTACGTAAAAACGATGAATAAATTTCATAGAAATAACAGAAGAACGTTACTATAAAAAAACTTCTAACTTTATAAATAAATACTCAGCTGAAAGGATATCGAAAGTCGTGTTTTTTTTTTTTTTTTTTAACTGCTTTGGTTACTTAAATATTATTTTCAACAGAGTTTATTTACGGATGATTAGTTGGAATAAAAATGTGAAGTTGTTATAAATCTTGAATTGAATATCCTAACAAATGCACATATATATTTATATACCTATAGAGTTAACTTTCGTACTTTGTATAATTAAATTTAATTAATGTCTCTATTGTATCAATAGAACAACAAGATATGTATAATTTACATAGTATTCACGCTTATCTAAGCCTTACTTAAATTATTAAATAATATTAGAAAGTACGTGCTCTGCACCTTTTTGATTTTTAAAAATACTGTGAAATTTATCATTTATATGTTATTTTACTTGTCAAACGTATATTTATTTTACAAAATACGTTCGTAAAGCTCTAGTTTTATATTTATTAAGAAAACTATGAAGTTGATGAAATAAAAGTCAACACGGAGTAAAAAAATAATCTATAATTTAAAAAAAATAACGGAATAAGATTTATTCATAAAGCGCTCTTTCTTTTATAGAAATAATTGAAAAATAGAGTTTAAAAATCAAAAATCTAGTTTTACTGGTCATACTAGGAATTTCCTTATACTTTTTAAAATAACAGAAATTATTTTTGTAAAAGCAATATAGAAAAAACTTGTATTTAAAGTTTTACTATATTAATAAAAGAACTAACTATATCGTGAATAAAAAATATAAACAAACATTCAGAACTTGTTACAAAACAAAAATGTGACTATCGATGTAAATATGTTTTAACGTCACATGATGTACGAGAATTAAAAAGTTAACTTATGATAAATTAAAGTTTAAATGTGTTTTCCGATACAGACGGATGTATTTGTTCCCAGTTCTTCGACAGTCCGAATATACGTATTAATAAATCCACGCACTTATAGAATTACAATAAAATTATCAGAAGCGATGTATTTCGTTAGTGTTTGAATTATAAAAATATATTTACGTCACGTAATCTTGTAAAGTTCTTTTACGCTGCAAAACTTTTTATGTGACAAAAGGGAAGTGGAAAGCAACGTAAAAAGAAGTAATAATAATGAAATAAAGAAGTGAAGGAGGCGCTTAGCATTACCCTCTGTGTGTATGTGTTTAAGATTTCTTAGTCGTTTCTTCTGTTGAAAAGGGTTGCGGTGGTGTGCCGAGGGTAACTGTGACGAAGAAAGTTTTCTTTAGGAAAAAAAGGTGAACTGCAGGTTCGTGCAGTAGCTGGCCAAGTCACCGAGACTGGCACGCTGTCGTGACGTTTTATGTCGCGTTAATTACCTTGTCGGCGAGTTTCTTGTACATCGTTGGTCCTTACGAAGGGGAGCAAAAATTGCAAACGAGCTCGAAACTTCTCATGTTCAAATAGCTATTCACGATGGACTCGCAAGCCGTAAGGATCGTAGAACTTACCTGATGTAATTTACAGCCACTTCGTGCTTTCTCTGTCTATACGTCTCTACCCCTCTTTCTCTATCACTCTTTCGAATTTTCTCTCACTTTTTCCTTATTCCAAACGTTTTTACTTAAAGTAGAACCATCGTGGCTTTGATTTTTCAGATTCTTCACGAAGCTATTGAATTTTTTCGAAAAACATCGACAAGCAGACATCGTCTTAAATAAGATTATTCGGCTTTGACCTTAATAACACATTTTTTGCGTAACCATATTGGTATAAGAATAAGTAAAGTATTGTTATTTTGTAGTTTAATATCTTTAATTTTCAGATATTAGTGAAGAGTTATTATAGTATAGTTCAAGCAATGTTTGCAAATAAAAGTTAATTGTTAAATCTGTTTTTAATAAATTGACAAAAAATTTTGTCAAACGTCATGTTTATTCCCCTAGAGAAATGCATAAAAATTGTGCAACGTAAATTAAAAAACAATCATAATTATAATAATAAAACGTGACGATTAATAAGAATCGATGTGATTGAAATAGGAAATAGGAATATCTTCTTTTTTTTTTTTTTTATCATGATTTCAACATTATAAATATAATAGAGTTAAGATTCCTAAAATTTTCAATGTTATAGGTAGGATGTCGGCCCTGGAACCTCAGCTTGATCAGTGTCGTTGTCCTTGGATTGTCAAATATGCTTTTGACTTTTCTTCTATTGCAATCAGAGAACTGCAGCCAGTCCTTACGCTTGGCACAATTCGAATCCGACTCTGACAAAATCGTGATGAAAAACACTCCGGTAAACGACTTAAAGGACCTGACAATATCCGACAGTTCGTGTCCCTCGACCGCGCCCTATCAAAGCATTACTCAGGATCAGGTGATCGCCATAGATGATTCGACTTGGTTGAATCTAGATATCCGTTATGGACGATGGGATTCACGTCGTTTGTACCGCATGTTCGACTCAGTTATAACAGGTTCTCGCTTCATCGAGCTCTCCAAATCGACGAAAGTTTGTCTGGCCACTCAGAGTTCTCTTGAGAAGTTGTACTCGCTTGTACAGGTGGTACACCAATGGTTCGGCACGATATCCGTGGCACTATTTGTCGCAGGTGACGAGGAATTCGAAGTTATGCAGAAATATCTTGAATACATGCGTCGCTGCTACGAACCTATTCGCGAGCGAGTAACATTTTCATTCGCAGTGCCCAGAAATCGAGCGCCAAAGTTGCAACCAAGATATTACCCCCTACCAGACTTCCTCGACTGTCAGAAACCGGAAGGCACTCTTAATCAGATGACGAGAACGATATCGAGCGAGCAGACCAATTGGAGAATCCGTAATGTATATCCTCAGAATCACATGCGAAACCTCGCAAGGAAAAACTGTCAAAATGATTATGTTTTTTTAACCGATGTGGATATCGTACCAAGTACAAATTTAAGTCGAGTTCTCGAGGAGTTTCTGCAAACTGACAATTGTGACAAGTGCGCCTTCGTCATTCCGACGTACGAGCTGGACGTGCAAGCGCGATTTCCCCAGAACAAGAGTGAGCTCATTCGATTGGCAAAAAAGGGTCTCGCCAGGCCTTTCCATCAGAAGGTCTTCATTCATAATCAGTTCGCCACGAATTTCACGCGGTAAGTGTACAGCGAGATTTTTCCTGCGGCGAGTGTATATAAAAGTTTGCCTATTAAAGGTGGATGCTGGACGCGACTCCCGGCCATAAAGCTCAGGAGAACTTAAAAACGGGAAAGGCGTACGTGAGCCATGACGTAACCAACTTTGAATTCCTCTACGAGCCTTTCTACGTTGCGCGCGACGTCGTTCCGCCGCATGACGAGCGTTTTATGGGCTATGGTTACACCAGGAATACCCAGGTATCTAGTGTTTGTTGGACGGGCGAATCCTATTGCCATCACCAAGCCCACCTCTAATCCTACACTATTTCTGTAAATCCGTTGCCAACACAGTGGCGTAAGCTCGAACCAAAATGCTTTGCCTAACTCGCTTAACTGCCTGCGAAACGAGTTTCACGGCTTGTCTGCGAACTGCTTCGACCCGTGTCACGTCGCAGCAGCTTCGTACCACCCACCAACCATCTATAACCAGCCCATCCACTTTTCCATCTAGAAATCCGATCGTCTTCCCGTATAAACTTAGTCACGCATTACTTTGCCTCGATTTCCTTAACCTTCCATCGTCTTAGCTTCTCACTATTTTTTAACTTTACACTTCTCGTTTCGTGATACATTCCGAATGTCTTTTACTTTTATTCAGATATTCATCCGATGTATACATTAATTATTATCTCACGTATATGTGGACTGAATTGTTCCTATTCGCTTCTTACGTTAATTTGATTTTTGTGTTGCCCATTAACGAATTTTCTTTCCTCGATTTAAATGCTTATTTAATTTTTATTTTTAATATCTTATTAATGTATGAATATACACCAATTATTTAATGTAACAATCATCACATATGACATATACTATTAAGAAATGTATTATAGATAATAGGATAAAAGAATATTTTTTTACAATACAACAATGATAATAGCAAATGGTAGTTTTCAATTTGTAAACTATATATAACCGCATATAATATAATATATGTGTTCACGACATATTTAATTCGGGCTATAATGATTAGAAATTATAGTCGATTGTCTGCTGGAGAAGCACCTTTTATTTTTACATTATTTTTACATCTCCTTGACTGCTATCTTGATACATTTATTCACTTCTCTTTTATTTTTTCTCCTCCCTTCAACGATTTTCTCATGAAAAGTTTCGCATGTTATTAATTTCCGTTCGGAAGAACTTTACCGTAAGAATTTCAAAGAAATTAAATACTCTTATAATAAAATTAAAAAGGTAATATACCCAGGGCATATAGCATGCCTAGATTTACGGAGGAAATTATGAAACTAATATATTATTTATAGCGAAAAGAAATTTAATTATGATGAAATATTATCAACTGATTGATGTATACAATAATTTGAAATTCATATTCATTATTCATAATATCGATGGTTCTATACAATATTCATATTTTTAAAATGTATTTCAGCACTTCATAAGCTTTTTCTTTTATTATTATTATTATTTAGTTGCTTGTTTTGAATAATTAATTAACATGCAATACCTTTCTAAGGATTTAGTAACGTCCTTTATCAGTTTGTATAAAACTGAGCTAAAACAATAGCTCGATTAGCGGGCGTCGGCTCCGCGCAATTTACGTAGTTTATCCCAATTCTATAATAATCAAGGACAATGTTAAGACGGTGGCTCGTGAAATCGCCAAATATCCTAAAACCTATTTCCGGCATATTTGCTTAATCATTGGAAATCCATTAGATTTGGAAAATTATAGCCATATAATGACTTTATGATCGATGAAATGGAAGCTTAGAAGAATTATCTCAATCGACCCACATGGCTCATAAAAACATAGAAACATCGTGGCGATGAAAGAGAATACGATATTTCCAGTAATTCGGTACATTAGAGCGCACAATGCATAATAACGAGGTATGCACACGTAAGTAATTGAAGGAGGGGCTAATTCTTGTCTATAAAGCAGATCTACGAGGCACAATGCGTAAGAGCATACACAATGGGCGCCTCCTGACGTATTCTCTGCAGCTCCGACAGAATGAATCAAGGCCAAAGGCAGGAGCGACCGTTCAGGCATATTTCAATTTGCGCACTGTTTCGGCAAAACAATCGAATGCGCACGGGCGCCCTTATCCACCCACTCCCTAATATATCTGGCGTCGCGAGTCGTAATGAAGAGGGCGCCCCGGGTGCCGAGCATAAGCCGTGTATTAGCAGACAACGCGGAGCTGAGAAACGCACGACCATTATTGCCTCATTCAGACCTCATAGAAACTGGATGATGTTCTTTGTTCCATCGGTACTTGTACCTTGACGCTTAGACATCTTGTGCATCAGCGTTCATTTGCACGCTTCTATTTAACGTCTTTGATTCTTTCGTACGGCAATGGCAAATCCACGCGATATCTCCCGATTTTATTCTAATAATCAGCTGCATGTAACAACGACAATTTCCCACGCCTTCACAACTACGTACATTCGAAATTTCGTATTATTGCTCCTAACGCTGTAATTATTGTTATTATTATCATTGTTATTGATTTTTATATAATGGCTGGCGGACTTTCAGATAGTCATGAAGAATTTAATTATTTTTTATAAATAGCTTAAATATTAATTTTCTATTTATACGCAAGAAAATTTTTGTTATTTTGTTTTTCAAATACTGCATAATCGAACGAATTATATTTCATGATTTATCATATCTATTTATATTATTACTATTGTATATAGATTTAATTATTTTAAATGTATTTCCTTCTAATTTCTATAATACCATATAATTATTATAAACTATGCGTAGATTTTTGAATTTTGATACATGTTTTTTTATAATGAAAATCATATCAATGATACCTCCTCCATACCAATTAATAAATAATAAATGACAAAAATTGTAATTATACAACATTATGGAAATATTATTTTCTAATGAAAATTTGGCTTACTAATAGTACATCAGATTAGATTTAGATTTATTTCTTAAACGTGTATTTATACATAAATAATTGATTCTGTATACGATATTAACATATCTCGGATTATAATAAATTTGCATTATTAAGATAGAATAAATTGAAATCAAACTTTTAATCGCAAATATACATAATAATTTAAAATATGTTATTTTTTTATTTTTCTATTTCTGTACTACCTTTATTTAATTTAGGATTACTTTTGTAATTTATATTACTCAAATAATACTGGAAACTACATACAACTTTTTAAATTTATCTAACTTTTTTTACCGTCCCTATCCTTAATCTAAATTTTTTTCAAAATTTTGTTCAAATATTCGTACTTTCTACAGCTTTGCATCAATGTCTTTATCTTTTTCAGACAATTATTCCAATTAATTTTATTTATTTTTATTTTATTCACTAATTATTCAAAATATCTGATTTTGTTAAGCAAAAAAAACAAAAAACAAAAAAAAAATTCTATTCAATTCTTATATGATTACAATAGTTTTAATTGCATGTTAGTATTGATTTTGTAGATTATATATTAATTTCATGTATATTACGATTTTTGTTTTATATTTAATAATCATTACATAACGGTAATATTGTCTCATAAATTATTATTAATAAAGCAAATAGATTATGTATTACATTATTATATTATTTTTGGCTTTAGAAAAAGTTCGATTTATTATCTTAAATTATGTGCAATTTATTTCTTAGATTAAATATGATTTTTTTTTAATTTATCATTTGATTCATTCTTTAAAATAACAATACTTCTTTACTTTGAGAAAGTATTTATTGAATTGAATTAATGAAGAATTTGTTGAAGTTAATTAATTTATTTCTTTAAATCTGGTTTAAATTGTTGTCTAATTAATGATATATTAGATTTAATATGTGGGAAGTAATTCTTCGTTGCATGCTTATATATAGTTTTGTTGCGATATGAGTTACAATAATTAAGTAAATAATACTCGTGTACCTCGAAAATAATATGCTCGAAGGCTGCACTCAAGAATTTTTGAAAAGATTAGTTAGACAAAGCAGGAGAATTGCTTAGTTAAATTCTCTATGGTAAAATGTAGTAGTATTGTAGAAAAGATGAATATAGTAGACGAAGAGGTTTGCTATAATGAGAAGAAAAACACGTATTCTACGGACTTCTCCTATGGCATTAATCAAATTTGTTTCAATAGATGTGGATCGGGTTTACTCGGATAGAGCAAAACTTTAATTTGAAAAGCAACATAGCTGCTTCCTTTAGGTTTTATTCGTCTGTTTTTTATGTTGTTCTTTTCTTCGTCGTGCATTTCATCTGATTCGTACACGTACACGCATCCCAAACTTTTCCTAACAAATACCATAATATCCTGAAAATCAAATATAATTTTTCTTCTCCAGCTTTTTGAATTATTAAAAGATACATTAAAAAGATATTGAAGTAGTCGATATATCATACATCAAATATCAAATACTGTGATGCTCAAATAACTCAGGTGATTAATATTGGTCAATGTCCGTATAAAATATACTTATTTATTAAAAGATGAAGAAAAAGGACTTTGAACGCGTCTGATGAGGTATGTATGAATTATTTGAGAACATTATTATACGTAATGGATTGCCACTCTTTACATAATTACTCATTGAATTTAAAAATAAGTTCATTACAATGACAACCACTAAACATTTATAAACATAAAAATCACCACTGTTGCCTCTACTATTAGCATCTTTGAATGAGTACCAAAGATACAAATTCACACTAATTGCAGGTTTACGAGATGTACGTCGCGGGATACAAGTTCAAGGTCCTCTCACCAACGTTTACGGTTCATTGGGGACTTCAGACTCGTAAGAGTCGACCGGCGTGGCGCGAACGACAGAACAGCGTTAACCGCAAACACTTCGACATCTTTAAAAAAGAAGTGTTTGCGCGCTATACGCGAGACCCCCTGAAGATGGTGAAGAACCCAAATTGACATAGGTCTCTAACATTCCAGACGCTTAATTAATGAGTGTGAAATTTACGAAAGACTGTCACTTTATAAAGTGCTCATTGTGAGTTTGTTTGTTTTTCCTGTTTTTTAGTCTTGGTAAAACTGGTTATTGTGCATTAACATTGATGGCTTAAATTAGTTTGGAAATCTATTTAGCGACTACTGGCGATTTCTTTATTTGACAATCAGGAGATAATGTGTACAACTTTAAAATTGACTGCCGTTTTCTATTAATTCTTATAGTGCTCGGATAGCGGAATTTTATTTTTATGCGTTATCATTCTAAAATCTCGTTAATTTACAAAAATAATGAATGATTAATCAGTTTTATGTACAATTATGTAAATATTATCGTATTGTCAATATATTAAGTTAACATTATATTATTTACCGTATCTGAGCACATACTATGCTTGAATTTGTCCGCATACTTTCATATTCAATTGAACTGGTAATGTACAAATGAATAACGCAATTAATTTTCATCTATTTATTGCAATTAAATAAAATAATTGACAATACTCTATAGAATTATAGTCATATTTTCACATTATAATATTGATGTATTTATTTGCGTTATAAATATAAATTAATATATAAAAGAATTTTTTTCTTCGATAATGAACCATTAAATATATAATATAATATATTTTTCACTTTCAGTCTATTACATTAGAATTATGAGTTTTGATGAGAAATTTGTTATAAAAATAAGAAAGCTCCAAAGGCTTTAAAAACAGTTTAAACGTGCCAAGTAATTATCAATTACTATATTTTACACATTATGTAATATTTTTTTGCACAGTTTATAAAATATAATATTTTACAACGAAATAATCATGGCAAGATGGACTGTGTTTGGATTTAAATATATTATTGTTTACGTATTTTTCTAAAAAAAATTTTTTATTTTTAATGTATTCGTCCGTAAGTGATATAAAAATGGTAGATCTCAGGAAAATGTGTGATGAATTAAATCATTAATTAAAAAATGAATGCAATATAAAATATTCCACTCAATAAACATTTTCTTTCGAATATTTACAATGTACAATTTAAAGAAGATGTATATATAAATTTCTTAGTATATTTCACTAAAGAGAGAAATAGAGCTGCATTAACGCCTTAGTAAATTTTTTATAAATCTAAGAGAAGAACATATATACTGTACAGTAAACGCAAATGTCTAAAAATAAAAATGAAAATATCCATAATATAATTGGTGTATTATTATTTTCCTGAAATTACGCAATTATCATAATAAACTAATAATACTTCCTTTTAGTTACGATATTCATATACTTTTTGTTTTTTAATCATACCTTAGATATGTTCGATATTGCATATATATTATATATTTTTCTTATGCTTTCTTTCATAATTAATACAATTTTTTACTAATTAATTGCCTGAATCTTTTCAAAAATCTATAAATCGTATTCATATAAATGAATATAAGCAATATAGAAAAAAACATTCGTGTAACCGTATATAGTTGACGCCCTAATTTAAACGTTAATTAACGTCTTATATACAATATAGTGTAGACAGTACACTGTGAGTGTATTAAATTTCTTTGCCAAAATTTATCAAATAAAGAAATAAATGACTGATATATATATATATATATATATATATATATATATATATATATATATATATACATACATATAATAAATGGGAATAAGTAGAGACAACTCCTTAAAAATCCCCTGGGCATAATAACTGATTATCAGATGGAAATAGAGCAACATAACCGCAAGCAGTTGGTTTTACATTTGCTGACTGTGGTGCAGCTGTCCAATATATTATTGTGTCGTATGTAGCTTCCCACGAGTGCGCCTGCACTTTCTGACCCGACAACTCGTTTCGACTCGGTTTAATTTTCTCCACAACATGCACCTACTGTCTGGACGTTGTTCTGACCCTATCCTGGTCCTATGAATAAAGAAAGTAGAACTTGGAATTGTGTGCATCGGATTGGCCGAGTAAGTGCGAAAAAGCAGAGGAAAAGTACGCGGCGAGTAAGTGTTGGCGCGATATTTAGCTTTGTATTGTTGTTACAAGTAGAAATGATGAGAATGAAAGAGATAAAGAAATATAGATATATATATATATATATATATATATACACATATATACATATATATCCAAATATATACGTATGTATATGTATAGAGCGAGATAGAGAGGTAGGGATAGGAGTCAGAGTTAACTTGTAGATGTAAAAGTAGAAGTTTTGTGCGAAGCATATAGAACATAATAACGTAACGTAAGACACAAACACTATTGCGTATGGCCTCGGTGTCTGACTAAATTATTAGATTCAGCGTTTTGACTCGTCTTTTTCTCTTTCTGATTCCCAGGACTCGTTAAGATTTTTGTTTCGGTTTATTTGTCAACCACAATTTTTTATCTCCCTGCTTCCTCGTTGTTTTACTTTTTTCTTTTTGCTCTATTTCGATACTCGAATACAATTTTTTATTTCTTTTTTATACCATTCCACACAAAGTCAACTTTTCTTTTTTCTCTTTCAAACATATTTTCATCTCAAAGTCACAACTTGTTACTACTTGTTATACCTATCTGATTTTCTACATTAAACGATTTGTTATTATTCAATTTTAATTTCAATTAATATTTTACTTTCTGTAGTATACAGTCAAGTATATCTAAGTCAATACATTATTTCAGATGCGAACAGATCTAATATATATGTACTCTTTATTTCATGAAGTATTTAATAACCGAAAAAAGTATGAAAACTAATTTAAGAATATAAAAGTAAAATAAGCTGACGGTGTATAATTAATATATCTAGATGTTCTAATTTTCAGAAAATTTATGATTTCAATAACTCAATTCATGTTTATGTAAAATTTTTAATTTTAATTTTAATTATAAGGTTATTTATATTTGATGACTAATTCATTATCAATCCATATGTTTCATTAGGGATCATTTTTATTAATATTTATTATGTAATTTTGGCGAATATTAGAAAGTTAAAAATGATAAAATTATCCATAATTTCTTTATTTTGATCTTTACTTAACTAAATGCTTTTCTTTAATTTTCAAACAAATAAAAAATTATATTTCTCGTAAATATTTCCTGTTATGTGAATAATAAACAATAGATTACTCGATACAAAATTTGTATAAAAATTCTTCATTTTATACTTGATTGCTATCTAATCTCATTTAATAATTTGAATAAAATAATTATTTTGTTGTTAATAAAATATATATTCGATTCCAATGAATTTATGTATATATATATATATATATATATATGTGTGTGTGTGTGTGTGTGTGTGTGTGTGTGTGTGTGATTAAGTTGATTTAAATTAATTATATACATTTATTTACGAAATCGTATAAATGATAATTTTGTAGTTGTAAAACATAATATTGATGAAATATTTAGAACTAATTAAAATTTACAGTAGATATAGCAAACTATGCATTATGTTATTATATTATGAATCCTCTTAATGTCTACGTAAATTTAATTTATTTATTCAGATAATTAAGCGACTAATTAGTTTTGCAAAATTAATTTTTGTTTAAAAATTTGAACAAAAACTTCATTCTGTTAAAAGTTAAAATAAATATATTTTTATATATATTTTTTGTGAATAAAATAAATTGATACGATATATTTCAGTAAATGTTTGCAACTCCTCATTCTTCAAATTTATTCAACAATTATAAGATTTAATTAAATAAAAATCCATATTTTTCACGATATTATTTATATGCATAAATAAAAAATCTTCTGATATATGTACTTTGCGTTCTTGAAATTAGTTATCAATTGGTTCATATAATTGAAACTATATTACTATGATAATTTATTTAGTGCTTTTAGCATTCTTTATAGAAATATTATCCGTCTACTTTTTTTATTGATATTGCTAAGCAATTCTTGGCGAAGCTTAGTGTTGCATTCGAATGCAACACTTACTGAATTATCTAGTATTTTCCGAAAAGTAATTAATTAGATTTAAAATCGGCTAAACTGAATCTTAAGATTGCGGTATATAGAAGAAAATACTTCATTTATGTTAATTTATTAGGTCATGAAATGAAATATAAGTAAGAAAATTAAAAGAAAAATCAATATTGTTTATTTAATGACATTATTTATATTTAATTTAATTTATATTTAATATTTGTTTTGTAGATAAATAATTTTCATCACTGCATCTAACAAATTTGGCAATTTGTATCGAATAAGTAGGAAGTCACAGGCGAGGCAACAGCGGGAAAGTTTTCAGATGTGATGGTTCAGTTTTGGATGAATGAAAGGTAAGCGATTAACTAGAGAGGGAATACTCTGGCGAACAAGCAAGCAACCTAGCCAGGCGAACCTAACAGGAATAGCGGATTCCAAACTCAAATTCGAGAACCAGACTAATCCGTTCTAATCTTGACTAATCTATAGTAATCTCAAGCAGATTCTGTAGCCCGTAGACGATCTTCGGGATTTTAAGATTTTACGATTTCTTCAGTACTTATTGTGGTGGAGCTCTGATTACATACATCTACCTAAATTAAAACATTTCGTAATTTAATTGGACGACTCGGTGCTATTTCATTAAGTATTCGTATCTTCAGCACGTTCGTCTTTGAAATTAATCAGGCGTTTTCTCATTTGAAAGCAGTTGCCAGTGGTGCGCGCTTTAGTTGTTTTTTTTCTCGGTGCGCGGCTAGATTTGCGAAGAATTTATTTCGATAGGCCAGGCTCTCTATTTTCGCCCACTTGCATCTCGGCTTTTTTCACGGGTGAGAGTGTAATTTTATGGAGCTCAACGACGAAAATGAAACCACCTGCCAGAAGATGGAAGAACGACACTGAGCCCGAGATAAGTCAAAGAAGACATTACCTCTCTACTCATGCAATCCTATTTCCGAGTTATTAGTTCTTCGCAAGTACGACTTCGTCCAACATCCACGTCATATTTAGCTACATAATATAGAGGATTTACATGGTTATAGTTAGGCATTCATCTTGACGAGTA